CTACAGAGTCCTAAAGAGTCTTTATAATAATCTTTTTATTAAAACAGAACTTGAATATAAACACACTTCTCGTCGTAGATAAGAAAAGGACCATTTGTGGCGATGTAACTTAAAGTAAGAGTCGAATTCAAATTTAAACTAAGCATAGCAGTCGAAGACTACGAAATTTACTTTAATTCTGAGTTATCTCAGAGCTTCTCACAGTAATTAAATGTCGGCACCAATTATGCAAAGTCGAAGTGTCAAAGCTGGCGAAACCCAGTAAGGTGACCTCAAGAGGCAGAAACACACTCTGGCTTACAGTCCAAAAACCCTGCTTTTAAATAGTCTCTAACTCAATTACATTTACGTTGAGGAAACGGAAAAGTGAAGTTATAGTAAAAGCGTAAACCATAGTAACTGGTTAATTAAAATAATAATAACCCTACAAACTTCTTAAAGTGTATATTCATTGTCAATTTCATAAAATATGTAAATAGATATTTAGTTTTTTGTGTGAGTTTGCAAATGGATTTTAAATTAAAATTAATTATCTGTACCAATTATTTAATTATTATTCAGTGAGGTTACTTCTAGGAAAAGTACAACATATAAAGATTCTGAAACATTTCTCAGTTAATCAAAATATATTTTTAAAATTATATTTGAATGAATTTTATCGATTCTTCATTTTAGATTTTTCACTTTAAATGAAGCCAGAAAACATTGCTTAAAAAAGGACAACTCTAATAACACTTCAAACAGATAAGTTAGCTATTTAGTACCTAAACATGGTCAGTGCTAAATTATTTTTGATGCTATTTTATTTTTGATGCTTAATTTAGACAGTAGTAGTAGTTATAAACGATTTACCATACTACAAATAAAACCTCAGTTAAAATTTAGCGATTAGTTGTTATTCTTGGTTTCAGTTCCTGTAAACACTGTCTTTGCAAGACTACAACTGTAATAAACTAATGCAAGACTACAACTGTAAGAAACTATGTACTGTCATGAATATTTAACATAATCAAAATTATGTAACAGTAATTGTTCTGAAGTTTGCTTCCAAGTGTCAGATTTAATATTAAAACCTTTCCTTGACTTTTATCACTCAGACTGTAGAAATCTGAATTTTGCTTACCTTTGTATGATCGATTTAAATATGGATTTAAGAATGACGTTTTTAAAATTTAATAGCACAGCAAGAACTGTGCTATTACCGTATTGTAATTAGTTATAAATTTTCAATGCAGTAATAGCACAGTTCTTGCTGTAATATATATCGGAATGCTTTAAATATCACTTCACAAAAATGATTTGGTTTATTTATTAATATTCGATTTTTTAAAAAACGATTTAAATTTTCTTCAGTTAAAATATTTTTCATTAATTATTCATAAAGATTTAGAGTTTCTTGAAACGTTTATTAGAATTGTCTCCTCAAAATTTTCCAAAAATCATTATTTCTGAAAATTTCTCTAAGATTCATCTTCTCTGTTTTAATATTCACGAGGTACTCAACAACAGAAATGCTTTTATTTTTCTTTAATTCAGAGGAAACGTTTCAAAAGCTTATTACAGACATACCATTGAGTATGTGTTGAGAACACAATCCTGGTACACCTAAAATACAGCACCCGTTATTTCTCGAGTAAATGTAAATTCGGTTTTTTAACAGGGGTTGTGTTATTAAAAAGAAAGCAATTTTACAGGCGTCTGATGCAGGTTTCAGCGTCGCTCATATAAATCGCAAATTGTCTCAAATGTTCATTTATTATCTTAAGAAAAGTATTTTTTGCTACAAATAAAAGAAATTTTTCCTAAAATTTTGGAAACTTTTTCAGACTGAACTTCCAATTTCAAAAATGACAATAGGCAGTTGGAATATAAACTTTGAAAGTACAGCGTACTTAAATTTTCTAAGTTCAGAAATTTTACATATAAATATTATTTAAAAAAAATTCTATTAAAGTTCGAAGGAGATATATTTTTTTCAATATGCAAAATCATCTCCCGTCAAAATAAAATCCGAGGACATAATGATGCATCAGAAATTGATGGCCGGAAATTTCTAAAAGAAAGAAAAGTATCTAGTAACAGTATTTATCATCTAATCGCACTCGCCGATATTGCAAAATGTAAGAACCTTATCTTTTATGCGCCCTCACGCCTAGGGCTCAGGGTAATCTGAGGCAATGAATGGGGATTTAATTCATAATTCAAATTTAGTCAATTAGTTATTCATTAACAAACTAAGTGAATTTGAATCCATAAATCTTCCTTTTTAATAACTAACACCTTTACTTCATTTCTTTTGATTGAGTATCTAATTCATCTAGATTAAAATATTTTAATTTGTAATGTATCAATCTGATAACTGTTTTTGAATATTTCTAATTTTATTATCGTTAATGAAACATGTTTGTAACGTCATATGTTATATTTTTGCTGTAGTGTCCTTTTTTAATACTCTAAATTGTTTCAAAATTTTTAAATGAGAAGCTGTTCTTTGGAATGCTAATTTCTTTTCTATGTCTATTACGTAATAATGATAAAATTACTCTGAAGCAGAATGAAGGTATTATTACAAATTTAGATAATATTTTTGTTCAGAAATCTAAATTATTTACTTATTTCCTTAGTTTTGCATTTGCTTCAGCACTACGATTGCCAGCTATGTGATGTGGGATTTTTTAAAGTTAATATAATTATTATTACATCAAACTGTGATAAATGTTAATAATTACAATGCAGTGTAAATGAAAATCTTACGTGTGTTAAAGGAAAGAAATCCTTCTAATTAAATAACTTTTGCAAATTATTACGTAAGATAATTTTCTTTAATTATTTAATAAAAAGTGTATTCATGAAAATTGGCATAAAATTCTAACCAAATGTATTCTTTAATTTTTAGTGGAAAATATCCATTCATTTTCATTCCTTATTAATTATTATATACGTAACAATTTCGTGAAGAGTTTTCAGAAGCAGAAAAGCAAGCTTTATTATATTTTCCTTTAATATTTGTTGTAAATAAGAAAAACACGTGTAATTTAAGTACTTAAGAACACAAGCACATTTAACTGACGTGCATAATATGTGTATATGTGTGTATATACAGCGTGTCCACAAAATCTTTACCAGGCCTTTATTTCGCAACCATTGTTCGTAGACATGCATTTCTTATTATAAAAATGTAGGACGAAAATATTCATGTTTAACGCTCTTCAATTTAAAAAAAATGGATTTTTTAAAAATTACTGAATCTAACATTACATATGGTTCTCCGTTTCCTATACTTACATTTAGAATTTTTTTTTACTCTTTATAATACTATAACCTAACGGTAAATGGCAACAGTCAAAAAAAATTTTGAAACATCTAACATCTCGACCATTAGTTAAAAAATTTGACAGATTTTTTTCATGGACATAACTTTTCCTCTTATCCAAGAGTAATTGCTTTAAGTTACTTTTATTACTTTTGACATGCAATTCTTCCATGTAGTGTTTTTATTTAATTTAATTTGCTTTGTTAAATGTAAAGTTTACATGGACCTCTAGTTACAAGCTGGCAGCCCAACATTGGGCCCGAAGCCTCAAAAATTTAAAACTTCTTACCGAAAGCCGAGCTTAATTTTTTCTTCTAACTTTTCTGCTGATATGAACAATTTCGAAGGATTAATCCAGTGTCCTTGGCTTTAGTGTGAAGCAGTTACACAGCAGGTATGAGATTCATTTTTGTGTAAAATTTCATTCATTGTGATGGTTTAACATAGAGTGAAAGAATACTTAACTGAGATTGTATTTTGGTCTAAGTGTTTAAAGCTTGATTCTTGTTTGCTAAATGGTTATATATAATATATAACTGAGAATAAAACTTGCTTTCGAAAAGGTTTTACGTATTTTATTCCATCTGAAAGATTGTTGCGAAATGTAGGTTTGTCCTTGAACAAAAAAGGATCACTCGTAACGATTCTTCAGCATGATTCATACCTGAATGAGGAGAATATGTTTACCGTAATGAATAATTTATTGAGATAAGCGGTGTCTGTTATTGCAAAATATATTGCTATTTTCCTTTTTATTTATAACTCTTAGAATTTGTGTGATATTAATCTGCTTTCATGTTCATTATTTTAAGAGTGAAAGATTAATGATGTTAGGAGCTCAATAAAGCTAGTTTTGGTAAATATAAAAAAAAAAAAATATTTTTACAAGAGAGTATGATTAGAATATTCTGTGAGTTTTGATATTGCTTATGTGGAATTTTTGAAAGTATATTCCATTGCTATTAAATAAAACCCTCACTGCGTAAGCTTACGTATAATTAATGCTAAGGATTGAATTTTATTCTTATAAGTTCTGCCAATGAACAATATTAAATTAGATTAGAGACTTTTTCAAATATTTAAAGAAAAACCCTTTACATAAATCCTCTTCGAGAAGGCGTATTTAGACAAAGAGGACCTTAAATTACTAACTTTAGAGTTTGGATTACAAGTTTCAGATAACTTAAAAGTTACGTTCTTATTATTTCTCTCTCAACTTTGAAATAAATATGATCCCGAAATTTAAAATGAAATAATTTAAATTTGTGCGGTATGGTAGTTATACATTTCGTATTTTTTTCCATAATAAGTGCAAAATTTTCCTAAGCATAGTGACCGTAAGAGCGTATAAAAAATTAGATTCCGGAACTTAAACAAAATTAAATTTTAAAATTAAAAAAATGGCAAAACATGAAAATTTACGCTATTTAAAACATTTTTGTAACTGACAATATATGTCTACGATCAATGGCTGCGAAACCAAAGAGCGTGTAAGGACTTCCGTGGACACTATGTATACATATGCATGTGTTTGTATTAGTATGTATGCATAGCATATATGAATAAGTTTATGGATATATGTATATGCATTCAGACAAAAAGCTAGAAAAACTGAATAATTCCTATTTTTAGGACTAGCAATACATAAACTTTATTTTTCTCATGTTAAAACTTGCTTGCCTGACACAATAAATGTTGTAAAACTAGCTTTCTCTTATGCAAGCAAACACAATTAAATTTGCCTGATACAAAAAGTTAAATATATTATAGTGCTTTTTAGATCAAATGGAAGAATTATGAAAAATATCAAAAATCAAAGAATTATGAAACAATTTTTATATTGCATTGTGCAATGAATGCATAACATTGGCACCTGCATGCCTTCATAAAGTACTGTTGTACATTATGAAGTATCTGTGAGTATTTAAATTATATATATCGTTCATTTGGCTTTTACCTATCATTTCGATTCCATAGTTAATGTTTTACGCTTTTTAATATTCGGTAGTATTACGTGGCACTATTAGATATTAAAAACTATCTCTGCAACCCATTTTTATGTAATCCCCCAAAATACACTTGCATTAGCATACTTACGTAATTTAGAAGAAATAGCAATCATAGGCTGCTTTCTTAAGTTAAGAGGGTTCTGGAAAAACTGCATAATTCAAGAGACGCCAACAACAAAACGATTGGAAAATGCAACGTTATGAAGGAAGTAAACATTCATGTTAAACGGTAAAGAAAACAAAATCAATTTAATGCAATTCCTCAAAATCGTAAGGTTCTTCGTAGCTCATCTTGCTCCTAAAACCAACGATAAAGTTGAAATTGGTGTGAAGAGGCTATCGGAGTCCATCTATGTGGGAAACGGCCAACCTGTTGAGACTTAAGAGAAATCTCTCCATCAGAAATTACATACCATAAGAGAAGATCTTTGTTTCTCTAGAAGGCATAATTGAGCTAAAATATCGCTTTGCTTTTGAACAAATTGAACAATTTAGCATTTAGGGTGAAGTTTAGTTTCCATTAAATTTTCTGAGGAGAAATAACGGGTTGTGATATTAAGTCACGTGTTTATGCTTCAGGGAATATTCTTGTATTCTTTTTATTAAGCATATTACATCCGAAACATTAAATCGCAGGCTAATATACATGACTAATAAGAAATAAAAGTTACTAGAAATGTTTTCTGCGAAGTATAAAACTAATTATCGTCACTCAGTGTTCACCAGAATTTTTTAATAGTTCACAAATGTATAAAACTGTTAAATTTTATTTAAAAACTTTTCTTCAACAGTTTTGTTCCTTTACATTTAATTTTGTTTAGATACATTTTATAAACAAATTTCAGTGCTCTTACTAACAATAAATGTGAAGAATACGAAATTTTCATTTATTAATAATACGAACATGTTTTGTTCAATCTGGGAAAAAAAGGTAGTAATAAACATACAATTTAAATACGAATGAGACAATAAATTGCTTTCCTCAATGGCTTTTCCTAATTTTAATAATTTTTGCCAAATTTAATAAGTTTTCCCTTTCATTGACTTTCATGACAAGTTCATACATTTCCACACTTTTACATTAAAAAAGTCCAATGGTTTATGACATTCTTTTAACTATAACTCTTCTTTCTTTCACATATACGTTAAGCAGTATTATTCAAATTCTATATTTATGAGAAAATTAATTGCTTTTATATGTAAAATTTAAGATAAAATTACATTACGATTCTCAGTATTTGTTCATTATATACATAAAATGCGGAACTATTTATTTCTTTATAAAATTAGCAAAATTTCGAATAATAATGTGTGATATTAAAATGATAAAAAAATTCTTTTCGTTTGGGTTGTTAATCCTAATCTGAATACGTCCTATTTTACAGTATAAAACATTTAAAAATATTTCAAAACAAACTATTAAACTTTCTAACAGATTAAACATTACTATGACCCTTTTCTAAGTTAGCAAGACAATATGAAATTCAAATATCTAATTCAATTCTTTTAAAGAAATAGTATTGTGATAGTCACCTGTAATTTTTCCATGGCTCCTTTCCATTTGTTCTGTTCTTACTGTAATTATTGTTCTCCGGAATATATTCCAATTATAAATCTCCCTCTCGATTTCTGGGCACAAAATTAGTAAACGATGGTGAGAGTACAGTAAATTCTGGTATTATAGTTTGTCTTCGTATCAATTCGTATCAGTTCCAGAGACTGAACACTCTCTCTGTATAGGGTATATGTATCTTTCCCAGTGCAGAATGTGAGCTCATTAGATTGTTCTTTAGGATGGCCTTGGCGATTTTTTTGTAATAAAATGAACTAACCTATGCTCACTTTCTTTAAAAAAGTGTTTGTATAGACCTTCTACAGTCCCATATAATACGTCATTCATCATTTACAGATTTTTATAGTCTCAACGACTGCCCACACAAATAATCCAGGAAAGCTTCGACTCATAAATATAGTAGCAAATAACTAGCAACAGACGGATACCTCAGAAAAATATAGAAAGAAATAATAACTTACGAAACATAAAATATATTTTTTCATTTATTAAAAAATAATTTCTGTTGGGTAACAAATGTCGAAACAAAGAATTTAACCGTACTTTCCTTCTTCACAAGCACAACAATTACAGGCCTTGGCTTACTTACAGGCCTTGGCTGCCTTACCAGGCCTTGGCTGTCTTACCAGGCCTTGGCTTATCCTTACAGGCCTTGGCTGCCTCAACCAGGCGCTCCCCCCAGCGCCTTCTGTGTGCAGCGATCCCTCTCCAGTTTTTACTTTTCAAAGCATTTAAGTCTTCAACGTTATCTAATCTGTGTTCTTCCTTTAGCTCTATCTAGTCTGTGTTCTGTCTAGTCTCCTATCTAGTCTGTGTTCTTCCTTTAGCTCGCGATCTCTCAGGTTTTTCAAATGTCAAGATCTTAGTGGGATTATCTTCCGGGCATCTCCAAACATGGCCCAGCCTTCTTAATCTATTACTATGGATGACTTGTATTATTTATGGTTGCCTATAAAAACCTGGACAGTTCAAAGTTATATCATGCTCTCTAACATCTCTCTCCATATATTGGGCTAAAAATTGCTTTAGGGAATTTTCTCTCAAACATGTCCAGTGAGCATTATATGTTTTTATTTAAAGTCCATGTTTCACTCGCATAAAGTAAATCAGGTAATATTAGTGTCATATATATTCGTAGTTTTGTTTGGAAATTTATGAGATTAGATCTTCTTAACTTAAGCCATACAAATCTGCCTTTAATTGCGAAGATTTGTCATATCAAACAAACATTATTTTCACTCTGAAACACTTTTTAGCAAACTGATTGCAAAACCTTGAAAAACTAAAATCAGATTTAACTGCACAGATTTTTTTAATCCAAATTTCTTTCACAATCCTCTTGAACATGAAGCGAAAAACTTAGCGTTTTCATAAAAAATAACCTTCAGAAACAGGGATAGAAGCAGTTTGACCCGTCGATAAACATAATGATCATCATTGGCATGATCAACAGGCAACAATAATTTAATCACTGCTAAAACCTCAACCAGCCTACTCGCTTCAAGTTGTTGGGAGTTGGGATCTTTTGTACATGAGCTGCCTGATGTCTAAAATTAAGATTATGATTAAATATTTACGTTTTAGAAGCAATTTTAAGGTATGCATAAATTTGCAAATAAATTTATACTTACATGTAGAAAATTATTTCATTCTTTGCCTTTAATTATTTTTATTACATCCAGCACTGCTCGAAAAGTTAAAACTGCTGGTTATTCATTATTTTGCCTGGGCGTTAATCGTCGGTTCCAAGCAATTGTGAAGTCGCCGATGATCAACCCATAGGTCATTGGTATAAGGCAGTGCAATGAAATT